TTGTACCTTCCCTTTTCTGTATTGTGTCCTGTCTCTTTTCTCTGTAGGTTTTAATTTTCTTGTCGGATCCTTTCTGGCATCCAGGGATCCACTTCACTCATTTTTTTCCTCCCCGGATTATTATTTTTTAGTGTCTGGACTCTGCCATTCCCCAAGCCCAACTACTTCAATTCTTTTTGTTGTTGTTCAGATGTCAAGGTTGATACTTTGCAAACATTGGAAATGCCTGCCTGAGTGTGCTAGACACCAGGGGACCCCACAGAGTATCACAGGTAGAGAAGGGACAGCCAGGCCCTCACCACCCTCCTGCCAAAGGCGGCCTCCATGGAGACCACCTTCCAGCCACTTGGCTGGACACACTCCATGGCTGTGCCCCAGGTGTGGCACCTGCTGACAGCATGGCCGTGGGCAGTGTGAACTGTGGACAGCTGGTTCAGGGCACCATCTGCTGTGCATGGAAGCTGTGTGGGACTAAGACAAAGTCCAAGTTATTTCACAGCTGATATTTGCTTGGATACTCAGTCACCAAATCCTCAGAAACAAACCTCCCAGCCTTAGAACAAAGTTTGGTGGTCAGATCACTGGCCCCATCCACTACTGTGTGCTTCTCATACCTAGCAAAAGAGGCGTTTCACTCCTGAGCCCATTCCCCCAGGCCCTTGTTCTCAGATTTCTAAACTGGTATAATACAGATTCTCAAAGTTAGTGCTATTTGTTCATTAATAGCCTTTGGAATCTTAGAGCACTTGAACTTTATGCACTATTTCCTTCAGAAAGATCATAAAATAATTTGGAATTAATATCAAAGTGATTCAGAAGTCATAAGATTTTACTACTGTCGCATACAAAAGTAAGTTAATCTGCTCCCCAAAGTACACTACAAAAGCAATTCTGATGCCAACTTTTGCAGAAGTTGCTCGGCTAGCTGGGCATGGTGATGCATGTTCATAATCCCAGCACTCAGGCGGCTGAGGCAAGAGGATCACTGCAAGTTCAAGGTCAGCCTGGACTACAAAGTGAGTTTAAGTCCAATCTGAACTGCACAGTAAAAAGACAAAAAAAAAAAAAAATGTCACTCAGCTGCTGGGAAAGTATCAACAGGACCAGTTGACAATGCTGGTCAACACCTATCTGGGCAGGCCAGAGACACTGCCCATCCTTGTCATGGGAACAGTCTTCTGAGTTTGGGGAAGACAGAGCAGAAATCTATGAGCCAATCCAGTATTTTTGGAGGATACACTGTTAGGCCCTACAGTGAGAAATAGCCCCAGTCACCTCACATCAGTCCAGTGGTTTCCAGAGCTAACGGAACCTGCAAGGAGCGGCCAGCTGTAAGCTGCTGCTGCATTTGGGTCTCTTCCTGGACCAGACTGTGGCTGGAGAAGCCAAGCAGGGCTGTACGGTGCCAGCTCCTCCCACTCAGTGCTCAGCAGGTCCTCACCCTGGTTCTGAGCGGGTGTGCAGTCACAAACCATAGTCAGTCCAAGTCCAAGCGCAGACCATAGGTCTCGTTTTTATTTAAAATTTATTTTTTCAGGCTGGGAGTTCAGCTCAGCAGCACAAGTACCTATCTGACAAGTGCAAGGTCATGAGTTCAATCCCTGGGACCAAAAAAACAAAAAATTATTTTTTCTAAACATTGGTGATATAGTAATCAAATTCCACTGATACTATGAGAGAGACATTATTTTCTTATATTTAGAGATTGTTATCCTGGATTTCTAAGATAAATTTATTTTTAACTATAAAAATGATATAAAAATGTTGTGAAACCTTGAAGAAGAGAATAACTCTAAGCATACATCTATGAATTAAACATGAATTCAGCACTCTGAAAGGTTGAAGCAGGAGGGTCAAAAGTTCAGCATGGACAACTTAGTGACTCAGTGAGATAGTGTCCCAAAATAAAAAATTTTAAAAAAGACTCAGCATATACTTCAGTATAAAGGCCCTGGATTCAATCTCTAGTACTATAAACCAAAAAAACCAAGAATATAAAAAGCAAAACATAAGCTCACCCTTGCAGTGTCTGACCCAATAACTTAAACTGGAAGCTTCAAAAAAGAGCAGAATATTATGCCCGTGTCAAGTCATTTAGTCAAATTATCATTTGTTTTTACTTTTTAAAGAATCACTGTATAAGGCAACATCTAGACCCATCATTGTAGGTTCTGCCAAGCATATCCTTTCTTTCAAAAAATATTTACTGAGTACTGTATGCCAAATATTATATTAAATACTATTTCCATTTGCAAGATTCTGTACAGGACTAACTCAGGAATTTACAGAGTGGTGTCCTCCTTTTGAACCATTTTCCTGGGCTAATCAAATAGTTTACCAGTTTCAGAGAAATTCAAAACAACTTATTCGAAAGTGGTTCCACTTCTGTTACTTTTTCTCATTTAAGTACCTAAAAGCCCCCACTCAGTAATCAGTGTCTTTGATCTGAGCTATATCCCCAAATCTTTTCTATTTTTTTATTTTGAGACATGGTCTCACCAAATCACCAAGTTGCCCTGCCTGAGTTTGAATGTGAAATCCTCTTGCCTCAGCCTCTCAGAGTGTGTGATTACAGGGAGATGCCTCCACATCTAGCTGACTTTTTTTTCTTTCAATATATATACACCTGTCATTCAAAGATGAAAGAGAACTGAAATTAACCTTTTATAGTTGATCTTACAGAACTTATTTTATTTGCTTAAGGCCGTTTGCTTCCATAAAATTTTGTGTTTGGGAATATAAAATACATGTTCAAATGAATCCTAAAGAGATGATACTTCAAATATAAATCTGAGGATATTTTTTCACAGAATGGTTTTTCCAGGGGAAAGAGACTGCTGATTCAAACAACAGGGTGACAAATTCCCAATATCTTGTGGTGTATTTGAAAAAAAAATTTTTTTGCACTGCCCTTTAAACTTTAAAAAACATACACACACATATTATACTTTAATTAGCTGTCAAACATGGTTCTCCATGGAGACTAAAAACGGAGAAAAACTATTTAACATTATTACACAGCAAAGTATATTTACGTGAAAGTTCAGAATAACCTGAAGAGCTGAGTATGGTGGCGCACACCTGTATTCCCAGAAGTCTGGGACGATGAGGCAGGAGGATGGCAAACTCAAGTCCAACTTGGGCAATTTGGTGACTTAGTACGACATGACTAAAATAAATAAAAAGAGTTGGGAATGTCATTCACTGCAAAGGCCCTGGGTTCAGTCACCAGTAAGCATAACCTGGAAAAGGAAATCTGGTGAAATTTCAAAAATTTCAAATTTAGTGTGCAGCAGAAGTTATGCATACAGAAAGGCAGCTTGGGGTCAGGAGGCGAAGTGAGGGTATCTGCTGGGTAAATGGTGGCGGCTGGGTTGCAGAAGGTATCAATCCTTCTCTTTGCCTGAGAGCAGGCCATTGCTTTCTTTTCCCAAAAGGCCCTCTGAGTCACTGAGCTTTGGCCTAGGCTTTGGAGCCCTCAGGGACAGGACTCTCAAGGCTACGGTGCTTTTCTTAATTTACCTGTTTGACAGATGTTCCTGTGACTTTTGCTGAGCAAAGTCGTCACATTAGTGGATACACTATACTGTACATCTTTATAATGGGCAAGTATCGTCTGAAGCAGCACCAAACACTGCAGAAGGCAGGAAAACGAGTGCCCATAAGCCTTCCAGTTACAGGGTCTGGTCCCTAAATGGGATTTACAGACAGCTCCAGGACTACATCATCTGTTAAAGGGAGGCATCACAGCAGCCCTCTCGGTCTTGTGTGGTGCCGCGAAGAGCAAATGGACAAGGAACTTGCATCAGAATCCCCCCTATCAGAGCAATACCAAATTATCATCACTTCCCTCCAATGTAAATTATCATCACTTCCCTCCAATGTAAATTATCATCACTTCCTCCTCTGCGCAGTGCTGCTCCCACACAGAACTACTGCCAAGTAGGGTGTAGGTAAATCTTAATTACGTAATGCTTAAAACACAAACGCACTTGATATAGGCAGCCCAGTGTGAGATACGGCACCTCTGTGGGCCTCTCTGCCTTTCTTATTTCAGCTGAGTCTGTAGTTAAGAGAAAGTGTAATATTTTCTGCTTATTACACGCCGTGTGTGTGTGTGTGTGTGTGTGTGTGTGTGTGTGTCGAGCGCGCGCGCGCCTGTATAAGGCAAAGAGGACGCTAAGAAACCTTTGTAGCCGCGTTGAACAGTTGAACGTCTAGGAGCTGAATGAAACACCCGCACGCAGGAAGGCCCCGCAGAAGAGGGGCCGGACGAGCCCCGAAGGCCCCCAGCCCGCGATCGGCAGCCAGACCCCGAAAGGCGGGAGTAGCGGGGGGCGGAGCCCGGGAGCAGGGGAGGCGTGGGAGCGGGACAGAGGGGCAGCCCCCACGGCGCCGGCCAATCGGAGCGCGCTCCGCCAGCGGCCAATCACGGGCCGCGGAGCCTAGCAAATCTGCCCGGCAGTGCGGGCGGGGGCGGGGCTGCCAGGAGCTGGGGTGCCGCCGGCTACTCTTCTGATCTTGAGGGAGCCACCCATCTGGGGCGGCTGTGCCGAGGGGCCGGGAGCGAGTGGAGGGCAGCGGGCTTGTGTGCCTGCCGCGTGCGGTACTCAGACGCGTAAATCCCCTAGAGCTGGTGCGCGGTGGCGCGCACGTGTGTGGACCCGGGCGGGTCCTCTGCGGCGCCGGCACCTGTCGTGTGAGTAGCCCCGGGCGTGGCTGCCCCTCGGACGCTCGGTTCCTGTGAGATTTCTCTCCAGGGCTCGCGTGCCTCCCTCAGCTCCGGGGAGAATAAGAAGTTTAACGGGCCGGGACTGAGCCGATTAAGGAAGTAGTAGAGCAGAGGCTGGGCCGAGAGGCTGGCACCCACCACCTCCGACCGTCTTCTGGCCAGACGGTCGTTTCGGAAAGATCTTAGTGACAGAGGTGGCCCTGAAATGTCTAGAGAGCTGGAGCAGTGATGGTCACTGAGTGAGTGACACAAGTCACAGCCTGGCCCATTTGTGGACGAGAGGGATGCTAGCACTTAGGAAGGCAAGGAGGAAACTCAGAATGGGGACCATCTGCTCCCCCAACCCCAGCGGGACAAAGACAGCATTGGAAGTCTGCAATGCCGACTGGATGGCCTCGCTCCCCCCTCACCTCCACAACGTGCCCCTTTCCAATCTGGCAATCCCAGGTATTTCTCTATCTCTACTTGTTCACACTGTGTTGTAATTCTGCCATTTTAGTGTTGTTAGTGGGTCAGGTTGCTCTTCTATTGTGCTGAGAAAACAGTTGTCAGTGACCCTTCTTAACTCCAAACCAAAAACTTAACACCAAAGCAGCTGGTGTAAAGAGATTTAAGTACACAGCATCCCTAGCAAAAGGGACTCATGAGCACAGCACTGCTATTTGTTGCTTTTGCTTTGTTTATACTTTGTAGCCTTATGAAACTGTTAACCCTGTTTACGTTGGGGTGATCATATGTGAAGGTTGCCTTTACTTGAATCACTTAAAGATAAAAAGGAGAACTCAAGGGTAATGAATAAAAAGTCATTAACAATTTTAGATCTGGATCAAAAAATAGAAAAATACTTCCTCATTTACCTGACATCGTCTAAGAAAGAAACAAAAAATAGGGATTAGAGTAGGTTCAGAATCAGGGCTAAGCATGCACATAGTTTGTTGTTAGAAATGCCAGAAATAGAGAATGCAAGCTCACATCACAGGCAATCATTAGGTGTGATGAGGTGGTGGTGTTTGAAGCTTTGTCCATATATAGACAGGTGTCTACCTTACTGGTCTAGAACTGCAGGCTTCTTCAGTCATTGTCTCTCTGTTGGGGGTTTTCTCCTTGACATTACTCTCATTAAATTTGCTAAATGTGAACTTTGCCTTTCACTGGAAACGTTGTTAAACCATGGTTTCTAGGGAAGGATGTTTTGACTGCACTGAGGTTGGCCTGATGTGCTGAGCAAAGTCCTACATGCTAGTACTTGGAAAGCACTCAAGGAGCAAAGGATGGACTTCTGCCAGTCCTTTCTTGTGTGCAGAAACATAATAATTGAAGTTCACCTCTAAGCTACCAAGCAAACTCTTAGAGCATTCCCTGGACCAGTTTGCCTTTTTGGCAGAAAAAGATGTCCTGAAAAGATGACTTCATGCGATCCCCAAGCTTTGCTTTCTATGCATGAGGAATAGATGTGCTGACTTCAAATGCAGTATTCACATACTCACCTTTTCTTTTGGAGGTCTTCTAGGCTCATTGTCCTCATGAGCCCCTGTTGCAATTGAGCGAGAAGAGGGCTGCTAAATTTCTTTATAGTTATGATCATTTTTTATTTACTACACATTGACTGTAGCTCCTTGGGAAATGTCATCTGGTTGTGCATTGTTCAGAGTATGTCTTTTCAATGTTTAATTGATGCCTATGGAGTCATCACTGCAATGATGCATAGGCCATTAGTCATTTTCCTTCAGGCTTTCAATAGAGTTACTTTGTTGAGTGACATGGCAGGTAGTATGTGTTTGCAAGCAGAATGGCATCTTAGGCAGGCAATAAATGGCCCTATCATTCAGGGGATGTCTGGGATAGGCAGGAGCTTCCTCTGTTGTTATACTTCGGACATCTCAAATCGTAGCAACAACTCATCTGGTGGCTTGGCTCTGCATTCTAACTCCATGACTCCAGGAAGAGGCTGGACATTTGTTCTGTGATCTAGGCAATTCTAGAATACTCAGTGACCTTTGGTGTAACTGGAAATTCTCTGATTGGCTGCTGTTGAGATCCAGGACACTCCCTTTTTGTGAAGTCTGCTCTCATATGCAAAAAGGGGAAAAAATGATCATGACTTCTCAAAAAATGTTTCACTACTGTGAAATATCTTTTTCCCAGGAGTGAAAGGAACAAAAGCGTATATATACTGTAAGCTCAAGGCAGGAAAATCACACATTAAATGCTGACAGTTCATGCATAGGCTCCCCCTTCTAGTTCTCTTTTCTCTGCGTTATACTCCTCTAGATAAAGGCTAGGAGTCAAGTTCTGAAAAGACTTTCTGAGAAATTTGGAAATAAGAAAAGCATGCTAGAATGCCGCCTTCTCTTCCTTTTCCCCATTAATGCCACCTGCATCATAATAGTTGTTCTTTAGTGAGTCCTACCATGCAGCACCCGTTGGCATTACCTCACATTCTCCTATCTCCATGAAGTAGGGATTAATATTGTTGTTTTAGAAATAAGGAAATTATTGCCCAGAACGTTTAAGTAGTTTTCTAAGATCACATCAATATTAAGTGGAAGAGCTAATATCTAAACCCTTAGGTAGCTGCACAACCTGTACACGGGCCCTGTGCCCTTGAGGGTTCTTGGGAATTGCAGAGCAGAGAAGGCAATTTGGAGCTGAAAACTAGATTACACAAACCATATTCTGCAGGGAATAAAAGAATATTTAGAATAAAATGGTCTTTTCTGAGTAATTATGTATCACTGTGAAGATTAGATTAAGCTAGATATATTCGTATTATACATCTGAGACAGATCAATTGATCTGTATATTCTCATTTAGAATTGGCACCCCGTAAGTTTTAAATTCAAATTTAGTCCTTGAACCTATTCTGTGTGCGTGTCTGTAAGACTAGGTCATATTTGTCAGGAGGTGGGGAAGGCAGCAGTGACATAGGAAAGGTCGAGAAAGAGGCAGGGGCTCTGGTGATAATAACAGAACTGGGATGGAGCTAAACTATGTCAGATTGGAGCACACCTGCTATGTTTGCCTAAGTTGTGATGGGACAGAACATGTGTGACTGCACCACTCAACAGACACTTGATGTATTAGTTTACTTCTGCAAGTGTTAAGAACACCTGTTTATCACCAGTATCCCCAACCAGTGACATATCTAAAAGAAGATCCTCGGAATAACTCTTATTGCAGACTGTACTCAATCATTTGATGTCTGAAGGGTAAAGGATTTGGGGATTTGAAAAGCTAAATTTTTAAAATTAAAGCTTTAAACTCTACATATATTTTTGCTGCTGTTATTGAAAGTATATTTTCTACATAATGCATAATGCTTTCCAATGGATTCTTTTCCTCTGTATATTTTAGTATTGCTCCTTTTTCTTTCATTTTGAGTCATGTTGTTTCTCTTCTATTAAAAATAAACCATTTGGCATGTTTAGAAGAACCTTGAACTTAACGGTCTTGAAATCCATGCTTAGTTCTGTGATACAGAACAAATATCGGAATTTCTCAGATATTACATTTGTTTTTCTTTATTTGTAATTAAGATTTTGGATTAACAATCATTTGATTAATTTAAGAGTTTCGTTTTTTTTTGCCTGTTCTTTGTCCCAATGTAAAAGATGAAAAAGGTGATGGGATCCTGTTAGGTCTAAGAGTCATTATTTTTAGTCCATATAAACAAGGGTTCACAATTGCCCAAAATGAAGCAGTATCCATTTAACATCATACAAGCGACTGTAGACTAGTTAATATAAGTGGATTTTCACCTCATCAGGCCCTAAGTGCATCTTAAGAAACCTGCATGTTCAAGTCTATGGGAACCAAAAGATAAATCAGGAAACAGTCCTAAAGCAGTTGATGGGGTGTGTGTGTGTGTTTGTGTGTCCATGTCTATGTGTGCCCCCGCCATCCATAGTTCTGTTTTTTTTTTTTGACAGAACAAATCAGCACACAAAATGGAAACTTTCATGTCAGCTTTTAGAATGAGAACTACTTTATTGAGAAAATTGTATTTGACCTCGATTTAAAGAAAGTTCAAGATTTCAAGAGCTGTGACTTGGGGCTTAAGATAAGGAAAGGACTTTCCAGATGAGATGAACCAGTTGAACTAAATTAGGAGCATATATATAGGAAATGGCTGGAAGCTCCTGTCCTCCATGTCCCGTGCTGGTACATTTATCATTGTACTTCTCATCACACTGTTTTTAAATGTCTGCCTTTCCCATGGTCTGCAAGCAACTCACAGGTAGAGGATATTACTTTCTTCTTGTAATCCCGAATCCTAGTGAAAGGTAGCAGTTCTATTATCAGTGACCACTGAGGAATAATTTAGTGCATTGAACTGTAGATTAAGAATGCTAGAATTAGGGCCTGGGAATTTAGCTCAGCAGCATAAGCGCCTGCCTTGCAAGCACGTGGTTGTGAGTTTGATCCCTGGTACTGGAAAAAAAAGAAAAAAAAAAAAAAAAAGAATGCTGGAACTGTGTCTTGCAGCCACTATAATTTTTTCGTTGAGCTAAACTGAATAGATTAGTTGGCTTCACCTTTCATAAACAGGCACTTGAAGCTACCCATCCTGTTGCTTTGCATCTTATTCCTGATCCTCCCAGATAAGACTGGGAGCACTCTTAGAAATGAAATTCTTGGGGCAGATGAAATGGTCAGAAGGGTCAGATCTATGGCATAACATGCTTTCTAGGAACAGTTCTTCCATCTAGCATCTTTTCTGCCTCTGTTTTTCCCTTGGCAGCTTGAGCTTGTCATCTTGCTGGCCACTCCCTCTTCCTGCTCCCATTTCTTGTTCCACTGTTGACCGTTCCTCCACTGACTTGGCTTGTATCTGCCTTCCTTTTCCAGGGTCAGCCTTTCCTCTGGTGCCTCTGGCTGCTGTCTGATTCCAGATGGCTCTGTCCTCTCAGGTTGCTCGTATCCATCCACTTCTCTTTTTTCCTACTTTCTGGGAGCCTTTTTCCTTTGCAGCTGTGCTGATGACCATTTGGTGATACCGCAGCTCTTCTTCCTAAGAGCCTGTGCTCTTCTCATAGGAACGATACGGGGATAAAATCACTAGAAGGGCAGAATGAAGGGACTGTGGCTCAAATCCTGCTAAAGGAGATTTGGGAACTACCCCTAAATGGTGCAAAATGCATTGTACAACAAGAAGGTTTGGTTGGATCTATTTGGAGTATAGCAGGAACTGTGCCTTGGTCCTAGAACAAATCCTTTGTTTTATAGGAGTTGAGGCTGTGGAGAACCAACGACACGGCTGACTCTACCAGGGCTGACTCAAGGAAAAAACATCGTGGGAGATCAAAATGGTTTCCTAAATGGAATCGTTTATTTTTTGTGAGGGTGTTGTCATTTTTTTCTCTGGGCAGTCATGATAAAGAATAAAAAGAACCTGTAACTTTGATGTTCCTATAGTAGGTTTCTCTCTAAGACAGTCCAGCATTTCT